ATAAGAATTAATCATTCTAAATTTTAACACATATCTTTGCATTATTGTTAATAGGACAATTTTTTTAGACTCAAGGAAAATGATATAGTAGATTTTCTTGAGACAATTTGCTGAGACAAACACAATTTGAATATGATTTTTTTTACGAAGATATCCTTATTGACGATGGTACGTCACGGTCTGACAATACGACCGCCGCAATGGCAGGTCAATTGTCAATTCCGCGTTCGTACGCGAGCCGAAAAAAAGACCGGTTGGCTGAAATATGGCAGTCCGCTCTCAAAAGACAGCCGCTAGCACGATCGCTATGCATCGTGTCGATGCACTTCGCCACGCGATGCACCCACGGCACGTGACACGCACGTTCAAAACACATCATTTATGTACCAGCTTTTCCTCTTCAAGCTCATTTGCTCAGGTAACATTCTTTTCGTTTTTTTAATTAACTTTACATTGAAATTAATGACGTATCACAATAATAAAGTTACTAATCATTATTTTCAACATAAAAAATAACAATAAAAATAAAAATGTGAAAATTATGATGAGACTTATTATTTATTATATTATACAATCTTGATTTTGTAACTTCTTCAATTTTATATTCTTATTTTTTTGTATCCTTGCTCTTGCGATGATGAAATATACATTTCTTTGTCTTCGTTTGTCATATTAGATTTCTGATTTTATAGATCTTTAGATTTTCTTAGAATTTCATAGCTTTTAAATTTAATATCTCCTTTATACACACATTTCATGATTACTCTTTTCACAAATTCGTCAGACACACGCATTGTAATGTCTTCATTTTATTAGCCACAATCTTCACATTATCTGTAATAAGCATAGGCAATAATAATACAAAATAAGTTGTTGAATGCAAATTCCTGTTAAAGAATGAAATTATATTACGCATTTGTTATTTTCTTGCGTATGTAATGCAAAAAATCTCGACTTTTCTTTGAATCAACTGAATGCCGGAAGACTCGGGAATTTAATTTATGGTTAAGCTATAACTTTGCAAATAATCAGTCGGTCGCTTCATGCGTAAAGAATAGGAAAATCTCGCGTTCTGAACATTAAAAGAGTTCGACTAAAGTCATATAATATTTTATGGCGATTTCGTGGTTAGACTCTTCGGCACGCTGAGTCGCTCGTTCACATTCTTCTGCTTTGACGTTACAATACATAAGCAAAAACATGCTATAATTGATTTAAATGATATAATATATTGATTGCAAAATTAAATGCACATTCTTTGGATTTTTATAAATTAATTTAATCAATTAGATTAATTGTTAATATTTTAAGAAATCAATTAGTTGAAAAGCTCGTCGTCAGATTGCAGTGCATAATTTTTGTGTTAAGCTTGAGGTGATCTCGATCTATTCGCGTCGATCCAGGTCGAAAGTAGCATCCCACGATGTGAATACAAATCCAACCGATCAATTTCTTCGGGCAATAGGAAGAATGGACCGGTGCAGGTGCTTCGTTTTCGACCCGATCTCGCATTTGCATCGGACCTCTATCGTGATGCAAAATCCGTAGGTCTTATTGTATGTATATACCGTTTGCATATATACGTGGGCGTTTATGTTAGTTGACGGTGCACCTGCAACTATTTTATATCTTCCCAGGAAAAGCTGGACACTCCTAAACTCCGGTTATCGTCGATCTACTGACTGCTAATCACTGACGTCAGTGGCGCAGCTAGAAGACTGGGTTGACTATAAAGGCGAATGACGTTTTATTTCTGTTTTACTAAATTTATAGATTTATAAAAATTTTAAAAATCATTTATCCGTATTATTTAGAGGATGGTACAATTTTAATTTTGATAACAATTATTTAATCAATTTAGGAAAGAAATTTTTTAAGATCTGCATAATGTTAGATTTTTTAAATTTAAACAATTATATATAAGTATCTATATGTAAAATATTTTTCTTTCTTGATTTTTTTATTAAAGTAAATACTTTTTTTAGCTTTATTAATTATATATTCATTTTATTTTCGAATTGTCAATAATTCCCACGATCCAATCTTTTCATCCTGCCTACGCCACTGAACAGGATACATTTAACAAGATATACATAGTCAACACGTACTATAATTCGATACAGCACGAAGCTTTCGTCCGTTTTATTTTTGGAAAATTTGCAAAATGAACGCAATCCACAGGCAAGATGTTACACGGTCTTTCAACTCTCTGTGCTTACCGGATTTACCGGACTTACCGGATTTTTCGTGATTGGTTTTCAAATAAGATTGTGAATATCTACACCAAGATGTCTTGAGATGCTGTTTTGTGAAGAGCTGAGGTGCAAGTTTTCAAAGCTTTTTAATTTCAATCAAAATATCTTTAAAGATATTCTTTAAAAAAGATTTAAACGTTTTAATATCTCTATATAAAAAAAATAAATATGTATTTGTAAAAGAAAAATAAATTAGCGCATTGCGCTAAATTAAAGATATTAATTCGAGAGACTTTCTTGTTAATAATAATTGCATTTGGCTTAATTCCTTCAAATCTTTTTGAAATCGATGTGCGAACGACAGACGAGAAATTCGTATCGTCCATCGATTTAATATGCGTCACGAATTAATCATCAGCATCACTTGCCAGTCGATCGTTCGACAAGATTTCGAATTAGGCGAGGCTACCAAAGTAGTACGATCTGTATGTCTCACGTCTTCGACGGTTTGTCGCACGTGAGCCGATCAACGTATGCCGTTGCACAGCACGTGTAATTCGACATCGCCTAATCTTAATTCAGCCTGCGCGATGGCACTAAATGAGATTCCGTCGGCAAAACCGCGCAGACATTTGCAAAAGCGGGAGTCAAGTGTACCGCTGAAATCCTGAGAATTCTGAGATTTCTGATTTTAATTCCGCAATGAGGAGAGTTGACTTCGTACACGAAATATGAATTGTTGAATTTATTCAGTAAGCGAATAATTGTGTAAGAAATTATAATTTATAGAACTCAGCGAAAAAAGTACTATAATCCATTATAAGCACAGTGAATAATAAAAAATTAGAATTATTTAAATAAATTATTTACTTAAACCATTTAATTCTTGTAATTATTTTATACTCAGAATTATTTTGGTAAATCTTTATAAATAATTATTGTATAAACAATTTAATTATTTGTAAAAATATGTGCATCTCTCGTTTTCAATAAAAAGAATTATTTTCAGCAAAATATAATGCCATAATGATCTTAGATGCTCGATTAATAAATGAAAGCATTTCGTAAATTCTAAATTTTGTAAATCTATATCTTTTACATACTCTACATGTAATACAGATCTGATATGCATCACTTTATAGAAGATTCAGAATAATTGTGCTTCAACGGTACTAGACGCACCTGTTTTCTTGCCTATAAAAATGCCTTATTCTCAAATCGGTTTCAGACGTACATACCATATACGGTCATTGAACTTATATCGCATTGTTCTCAAACCAATCACGTGCCACTTTAAACCCGGATTATTGATTATTTAAACAGTTATATTGTAACATAATACATATATTTAAAAAAAGAGAAAAAAGCATTTCTCTTACTTACCTTTAAATTTCTTGAATTTCTATTTCTATAAATTTTATTCACATACGGAGAAAAGAACTTTGCATTATATAAATTGTTTATAACATATTGTTTAGTTGTCAGACATCATGACAAAAATATTAATTTGTTAAAAATTGATTAGCAAGAATCACGAATAAATTTTTATATGGTACAATTTATCAAATTTACAAATAATGATTCAGTTTGGAAGCTGAAAGATTTTAATTATGGATTCTCAAAAGATTAAAATAATATTTATTCTAACTCACATTCGTCAGTTAAGCGGCTCGATTGTCATGTACTCCGGTATTGCAGACATTATATCGTGAGTTTCGCGTTATTTCATTTCATATAAACGTTATATTGTTTTATGAATCAATCCCAAATCGCACCGCTTTCCAAGTCACGCATATCGTATTTCTGAGCGTGACCAGACGGATCAAAAAGTAGCGTGACAGAAGGTAGGCGTATCGCAGTTGGTATCGCAAAATTCGTACATCATTCCCCCTGCGGAATATTTTTATACATCACTGCCTCTTCCTTCTCCGAGAGCATAAAAATCAATCTCCGCAGCATATCCGCGTCGCACTGTTCTCTAAACTCATATACCTAGAAACGTTCTTATGACGAGCTATGTGGAATCACAATCGCAGAATTAATTCGCAAATGCAAATACGAAATTTACAAGCAATTCTTCGATTCTTGATATTCGAATCACATCATGTTATATAATAACTTCACCTTACAATTAATATAAATGCAATAATAAATAAATATATAATTTTGACTTATTACTGTCCAACAAAAATAAATTTTTTAAGAATGAAGAACATAAAAATGAAGGTAATTGTTGACATAATTTTTTAAATGCTAAATATGATCTCATTTATCAATTGCTATAATTTAAATGGAGTCATACTTAATATCCAAAAATCTATGTTATGAGAGAAAAACATTCTTTCTCTCACATAAGAGAAAGAATCTATTTTTCAGTTAAAATAGTCCTTAATTCAATAATATTCACATATGAACAGTTTATAAAATTAAAAAGTGTATTTGTAAATTTATTTCAAAATCCACTTTGATAGAAAAATATAAAATTCTTTTTCTTATTTGATTTATTCTTATCACTTATAATTGGAAAATAATTACTTCTGTTCTTGCGTATTTTATGTAAATAGTGATATTAACATAATAATAATATAATAAAGGATAAAATAATAATATAATAAGAAGATAAAATTTTATCGATGTAATAAAAGATAAAAATCCTTAAAGGTTTTAATTAATATATTAATACTTAAAAATATTTAACAAATGCGTATTATAAAAAAAGTTTACATTGTAAAATATCAGATCTCTTCTTAGAACAGCTGAACAAACGGTTTTAAACGATTATGCAAAGATACCGGATCCATCCACCGATAATGACGCGAGTTTGACGTAACTCCCTACGACCGCACGTGTGACTTCTTAGAATTAATATTATGTCAGTCATACTTGTCTGAACGGGTACGTTTGGTCAGAGGTGATGATAATTCTTCGGGGATGATCAAGAAGTCTGTAAGAGTCCAATGGTGGTGGCCGTAGTTGTCGTGTCTGGAATAGTAAAACGCACTCATAGTCAGATTTGTCTTGATGTCAGTCTCCTTTCAACTACGCTTCATCTTCAGCTGCATAAGCAGACGCGGTATTATCCCTACACAGACGCGGGTCATCCCTGCTGCTATTCACATTTTATGTTTGTGACGAATGCAACGACGCATCCCTCATAACTTTCCAAAGTACTAACCCGACTTTCTTGCGGTTGCATTTGATTATACACAAGTTTTGATTATACTCTTGCGGTTATTTTAGCTTAAATTTGAATTTTGATTCATAATTCTAAATTTTATGTTATACAAAGTTTAACTAATAAAAAACTTGTATAATCACGTTTATCAACTTTTTAATTTTATTGCTACTTTCTCAGGACGTGCATTATCTGTAAAGAGGAAAACGGCAAGCAAATAAAATCCTTCGATTGTCAGATCGTGTATATTTTTAGATCAATTGAAAATGCATGAAGCTGCCCACGAGTCTGTTTGTCTGACACGTTAGATTTCTCTATCACGTCTTGATCGGGGTGACTCAGTAACTCACGTCGCAAAAGAGGGAAAGTGTAAGGCCATCGGCCCTCCGCGACATTCGTCAACCATCGCCCATTCACATTCTCGCCGTTTCCCAAGCGAATTCATTACAAACACTTTGTTTCAGTCATGAACCAAATGCCTCGAACCAACCTGATTCTTTCTGATTCAGGATTTATCAGTCGTTCAATGTCCTCTTTCTCTGATTCTCTAACCATGGTCATTCAAAAAAGATAGAATGAATGAATGAATTGAATAGATAAGAAAAAATAATTGATGAAAAATATGCTAGTCAGTGTGAAGCCAAATCTAAATTCGCAATTCTTTCTCCCTTAAATTGCTATAAACGTTGATGAGTTCGTCAAGACAATAGATATTTCGATATTTATTTAGTTACAAAATTGTCTTTTCGGATGCTTAGAACTTTCCTTTTAAATATACGTATGCATATCCATCAATAATTCCATATCATTTACATGCATAGAAGAGCCTGATCGATGGATCATCGTGCGATTCCCCATATCGGTCCGATCCCGCGAATCCAGATTGTCATCGGCGCGGATCACAATTATAAATTCACGTTTCGCATCGGTCATGACGATCACGTAGAGCTTGACGATGCGTGCGCTTACTTTACTGCGATCCTGACCGTATAAGAGACCACTTGACGAAGGCTGGTGGGGCATCCTGTATCCCCTGTGTATCCACCAATAAGTCCGACCCATCCCATACCCCCATATCAAGGTATCTACCCATCCCATTGTCCTGCATGTCCGTGTGCTTCGTGGTATAAAAGCTATTGCGACGGTAAGAACTACCAGCATCGTGCAAAAAGTTGGTGCATCAAGACCGGTGGAAGTGAACCGCTTAATTATCTGGATTTTCTGTCGAAGATCGCTAAAACACGAAAAAGTCGTTCCTGGAGGATTTCTAAAGAGACGAATGATCAGAGTCGACAAAAGATCGTCACGAAAAAACTCGGATTAAGATCAGAGCGAGAATGGTCAACTACATTAGTTTTGTTCTAATTGCGATGGCGTCGATCGCGATAGCGGAGTCAAGGGTGATTCCGACTGAGCCTAGTAAGCGCTAGAGTTAATATACTAATTTGAAATATTTCTTGAAGATTTTAAAAACATTTTGTGTATAGCATAAAAAACTAAATTATAAAAAGATTTCCAACTTTTTTAAATGTTATGTAATTAATATAGAAACTAATAGGTACAATAAAATTATGTAATAAATAAAACATCCCGATAATTTCAAATGTAAATAACAATAATTATTCTGTAAATTTTATTATTGTTCTATAATTCTTATATAAAAAGATATAAGATCTGTTTCCTAAAAACGAAGCTAAAGATTTATAAAAAATAATATAATACCTATTTATTATTAAATTAAAAATTTGTATTATTTACAGTTTCTGTGACGCTGGATACTTACGACAATCCTGTAATGTTTCTGAGAGAAAAGAGGACAGCCGTGCGTCCTTATCCACACAGGACGATGATGTTCACGGGTTATTACAGACCGATACGTCGCACGAATAACAGTGGCCAGGCAACAGGCGTCTTCGCACAAGGAAATGCTGTGAGTGGCGAAGCTTTCTTCGGTGGTATGCACACGCCGCATCTCAAAGGTGGCCCGGAACCAATCGAGGAATCGGAAGTGTCTAGCGCCGAGGCACAGGCGGCGCCGGCGCCTGAAGAGCAGGAACGCGAATATCATCGAAATGAGGTGCATCGTCCTGAGGAAGAGCAGCATCATGAACATCACGATGAGGAGGAACAGCTTCATCCCGACGATCATTACCATCAGGATTCTTTGACCCCTCAGGTGAGCTCCCAACAATGATTTGATGAGATTTATATTTGGTATAAGCGTGAAAATAATTCTTAAATGTAACTTGAAAAAAATAAAATAGTAAGTCCATAATTTGTAGCAAGATCAATTTTAGATGTTTCACGTTAAAATTATTTAAAATTATGAGATCAGTTTACATTTTTGTGTTTTATACATTCGCGAAATAGAATTTTTGTAAGATTATAAATATCGATCTATTTAATAAATGGTTCTCTATGAAATACGACATGGAAATCTATATTACTCCTACAGGGGCATCACGAATTGGAGCAGATTCCGTTAACTACAGAGATTGCCCAACCGACGGAAAAGCCATTTACTGCCACGGAGGCGTCCCGACCAAAGATACATCATACCAAGAAAACGCATAAGACACCCGTAACTATCAACACTGACGATGATGACGACGATGAAGATGAGGTGGACGATGAGGAAGACGATGAACCGGTTGTGCCGTTTGTACCTTTTAAGGGCAACAGACGCCGTCAGAAATATCCTCATTTAAACAACTTCTTCCCTATGGTCTTCAGCTTCCCAAGATTGGCTACTCGCGCTGGATCTTCCGGATCTGTTCCTGGTGCTATCACTGCCATTGCAAATAGTTACTCTACAGGAAAAGGCGGAGTTGCTAGCTCAGTAGCTACTGCTTATGGCGGATCTCCAACTGGGTAAGTTATATTTTCCTTCTATTGATTACCTTCTTAAAGAAACATTACGATGAAAAACAAGTTATTGTAGTTCGTTAATCGCATTGGAAAAAAAGATTCTCTTAAATTATTTTAAATATACTGAATTAATTCAAGTATTTGAATTAATAAAGAATTAGTAAAGAAAAACTATCTTTATTTAAATAAATCGCTACAAGAAATAAGAATAAATATATAAGTAAATGTATAGTAATACAAATTAATACATTTTTTATTTGTATTTTTGTTAGAAAGAAACAACGCCCGCAGCCATATAAGGAATAATTATTAAAGTGATTGATATTATCAGCGAATTAACAAAGTAAATTTGCCTAATAAGAAGTTTTTAAGACAATCTCTTTTTGGACAACTCGTACATTATCCTCGTAATTGCTAAGTCTTTTTACATGTTTTATTAAATATTTGTTAAATCTCAGATATAAAAAAAATATCAAATTATACACAAAAGAATTTTCGACGAAAAAGCAAAACTAAGAGCAATATTAAATTTGTTTTTAAGAATGTGCAATTTATTATGTAAAAATACATTGTTAAGTAGACATTGACACAAATTTGCAATCTTTTAGTATCTAGATTATATCGAGCTTTAAATTATTGCTGTATCACTTTATAGTAAACTTTCAGACAGATTGTAACTGTTTAAACTAACAAATCTTAGATGATTTATTTCATTTACACCCATTAATATTTATCAAATTACAGTTAAAAAATTAAATATGTCTAGTACTTTCTTTGTGGAATAAGCAATCATAATTTATAATAATATAAGAAGACTTAGTAAACTAGCATAATCTGCAATCGTAGCTTATATTTTTGTAAATTATAAATTGTTATTAAACATTACAGTATCATCTAAAATAAAAATCTAGAAATCTAAGTATCCGACTAACTCGAGAAAAATCCAAATTCAAATAATAAAATTGATTTATGTATAATGAATTTTTTAATGAAAAAATAAATATTCTTTTTATATTATACATTCAACAATTTATATCTATTTTTTATTATATCTATTAAGTCTTTTGTAAATGTAAATTATAATAGAATAAAAAGATATTAAAATAAAATATTTTTTTGGACTTCTGATTTTCTAAATATAAATAAATTATATTATATTATGACAATTATATAACATACGCATTTTATTTACATAAAATTCAAAGAAAATTCAAATCTTGCGAATATAATATATCAAATTTTATTATAAACATATAATTCGAAGTTGAGACATGTTCATTATTATATGACGCGCATTCTAAAAACAATTCACGATTAATTTTATTTTTATCATGCGTCGTTTTAAAATTTATTCAAAACAAAGTACATTATTAATCATCCATAATAAATTAATCCATAATAAAAAAGATTAGTTATCATACTAGTTATCATACAACAGATAGATGAAGTACATGTATGTGGTCAAACTACATTAACGTTTTTAACATACTTTATCAAAAGCTGCAAATTTATGTGTATAATTGATTAAAAAATCGGTATAAACAGAAATCTTCAATTTTAACATATCAACGACTGTATAAAATAATATTCTCTATTGCAACATTCACTGTATAATATAATGACGTGTTAATTAAGAAATTTTTAGTAAAATAAATGATATTTGTCGGGAAATATTATGATTAATAAAAATAAATAATTGAAAAGATTTGGTTCAATTCAACGAAATTTATACTGAAATAGTTTTGTGCAGCGTTTTAAATTTACGATAAGTGCAATGACAAAATTGCTTTTAATTTTTAGAAAAATAAAAAATTGAAACGATCAATTTATTAAATGGTTTAATAAACAGACATATAAAAAGTTGACATCGGTTTTTGCAAGAAAATTCCTACGCTTATTACGTCTATAATTGTTATAATTTAAATACAACAATAATTGTTTGCACTTGTCGGAAAAAATTATGTTTCAAAAAGACTAAGAATAAGATTAAAATAGATAGGTGACTGCAAAATTATAAGATCACCTTGTATTCTCATGCAAAATTGCAATCACTTGTCTTTGGAAGGAATAATAATATATGCGAACGTTGCGAATACAATACCTATCGTCGGAAGTCCCAAATTTAAGCGTGATGTAACTTTTAAAATAATTCTGTTTGAGTATGATGCAAAGAACATGTGAATTTATTGTACGAATATACTTTTTCCGGTCTAAATAAATCCGTCGGGTCATAATTCTTTTACAGTGATTCTTATACAATGTAAATATGTAACATGACAATTATGCGGGGTACTATGCTAATAATTTCGATCTACATTAGAATGGAATGGGGATTTCCGTTCGTAAATGTGTTTTTGAAGTATTTGCTAATTAAAAAATTATTTAAGCAATTTTATATACAATTTACGTCATCGGAATATTTTCTAATTTTATCTATATAATAAAATTCCCTAGTATTATGATTTTATTTATAATATCTTCAAGATTTTAAACTAATACATATTAAAAATTCCGAGTAAGTCTTTTAAAACTTTCATAACCATCTGTAAACAAATATATAGACTATTGCAAAGTGTTATAAATAAGTTTGTAAGGATTAAAAGTAAATATTATGTGTGCGTTGCGTGTGCATGTGTGTGTGTGTGTGTGTGTGTGTGTGTGTGTGTGTGTGTGTGTGTGTGTGTGTGCATACATTTTGAATCATTTTTCAATTTTTAATTAATTGAATTAATTGATCAACAGGATTTTAAATCTATCAATGATTAATTAGAACATAAATATGTATTAAAAAGAAAAACTGTGATTCAAGAGAAACTTTGATTAAGTTACGTAGTTTGTTGAATAGATCTTTAACCAAAAAATTATTTTATGTGTTAATAATAATGGATGAACAGAGTATTTATTGTTAGATGGGAATTCCGAAGTGTATTCGTTCATCGACCTAAGACTGTGAAGTCCCGAGAAAAACCAAGGCCAATTGATCAAGATTAGTTAATGTATTCCCTAGGCAAGCAAGATTTCATGGTTCTTTAAGCTAACCGGCTATTCCGGTGACCAAGCGTAATTAATGTTGGACAATGAATCTAAAGATGATTATATGCACGACAACAGTTGAGAAATGATATTTTGAATACTTAGTTATGCAACAATAGAATGCAAGAAGTTTGAAGGTCAAAAGGATTAATAATTAAAAACGTGTTTTTATTTTCACATTTTCCGAATGTTGGATTTTGTAATCGCGATTTCTTTCGTGTTAATATCGTTCTTTCTGAACATAGGATTTACGTTATATATTATGGTGATCTTATGATTATTTCGTTATAAGAATTTTTATCACACAGTTTTATAAACATGGCAAAAATATTTTAACATGTTCTGTTAAGGATAAAATATCGACGATAACATGAACAGCGTATCGAATATTAATTACGTAGGCAAAATTGGTACTCACGTCTTCTTTCATAGAAACTTTCATTATGCTATTCATTGAACTCTCTTCAGATCTACAATGTCTCATTTGCCTCTTCAACCTGACTTTACCACAACTGATTATTTATTATAATTCTACTATTAAAAAGTTAGCACGATTATTTTGATCAGCAGTTCCTAAACTTTTCAGCTTTATTCTATTTTAAGAATTAAAAATTAAGAATTTATGTGAGACAATCTTTGTATAAAAGTAAAAATCTTCTAAACTTATCAGAACATTGTTAATTATTATTTAATAATAAATTCCTATACGATATTAAATTATTTCAATTAAAATTATTACTTTAGAAACTTTGATTACTTCTGATTAATTAATTAATTTAGAAATTTAGTTGTTGACACACAATAATTATAATAATTATTACAAGATTAGTAATTATTAAATAAAAATCGTTAATTAATGTTGATTAATAAATTAATCACTGTTATAAAGAAATCTTGTTAGTGATCTACCTGTATTCTTTCGCACTTCTTTTGCAATTTGGGAACTAAGACGATCTACCAAGCTATACCGAGGATTGCTGGACTTGTCACGAAATGACGTTTCACTGAGTGAAGCACGGAAGTCGTTCCAGGGACACAGCGTCAGCGGCGCATCATCAACTTCACAACGATAAAAGAGAGGTTCATTCTGTTCGTGCTAATGATATGCGGCCGATTCGACGCGATTCAAACTGCCCGTTTCGTATTTGCGTAAACGCGCGTCGTTGGGATATCCCGGAACATATGAACGGGTTTCGTATATATAAAGACTGCCTGACCGATTTTCTCATCGTCATTTGGCACTGAATACCCTTAGCTGCACGATCAGTTTCAGAATGTCAAGGATCCTCTTATTCGTTGCACTGCTTGTCGCAGTTGTAGTAGCATTACCAGCACCGCAACTTCAAGGTAAAGACAAAAATGGTGTTCGTGAAAATATTGCAGAAAATCAAATTTTAACATATTATCGATTTTGTATCAAGATTGCGAAATAAATTAAATTCTATTTATTTTTAAGCAAAGATGTTTTGTGTAACTCTTGCAAATTTGGAAGCTTTAGGAAATAGAAATTTATTTCTAAAACATGCGTGCAATTTTTTTAAATTTTATAATAATTTGAGATATTAATTTTAATATACAATGCGCATCATGTTAATGCTGCATCGATAACACTGCACAAATAAGAAACCAGTTTATCTACTTTTTATGTTGACGCCAACATTTTGATCAATTTTATCTTACGTTGTACAATTCACTGTTTATTGAAAAAATACATAGTTAAAACAGGAAGTTGTATAAAATTTTTCTGTTTGGAATTTCTTTTAAAATTGAAATAACAATTTCAAATTTAATTCAACAAATAAATAAACAAATCGTTATTAATAATTATCTCTCTAGATTTAATAATATAATTATTATTGAGAAGTGATGTCTGAATTTTAATTGAATTAAAATTCAAATCTAAAGGTTCTCATTCAGATCTTCAATGGATAGCCAGAACAGTTGAGTCGGAGCCCGCTCGTCTTAAACGTACCGCATACGGTGGATATGGCGGTGGTTTCGGCCGCGGATTTGGCGGATATGGCGGTTTTCGAGGTCATCATCACCATGGTCATCATCATGGTTATGGAGGATACCGAGGACATCGCGGTGGTTACGGATGCAGAGGAGGATGCGGAGGATACGGTGGCGGATTCGCCAATAGTGCAGCCCATGCAGGTTCAATAAGCACGCCATTCGGCAGCGGTTCCTTCGCGACTGCATTTGCTAATTCTGGGTAAATATCACAAATCGATTAATGAGAATCTTTAACAAGTCAAACTCGTAGAAAAAATCATTAATTGTAAAATGTAAAGAAAAAGATTTTAGATATAATCTTAATTATTAATTATAATTGTATGATACTTTGTGATCTTGCAACCCCATTAATGTTATTATGTGATAAAATTTTATTAGCATGTAATTTACAATAATATGTTTTGATTGCAATAGATATGGACGATGAAGGACTTAAAAAAATGGCCACTGCTCATTGAGAATGGACATGTAACATAATAATATGTAATATAAGATGTAATATAATAAATTATAATTGTGCATTTATTATATATATAAAAGTTCATATTTTCATACCAAATAAATTTATTTACACAAAATATGAAACCCGATTATATATCTGACTTATTTTATAAATCGCAATCAATATAGTAATCATTTCATCTTGCGAATTTTAAATTTAATATGTTATTAAGCGTTATTATTTTCCATATTTGTTTTATATTGATTAGCAAATAATCCAGATTGATCCATTGATTTACATACTTCAATCCAATCAGTTGTCCATGAATGCAAATCACACTTAATTTTATATTCAGAAAACGTGACAGCCATTGAAAAATAATTGTCATTCTGTGCAAATTCGGGAACAACGCGTCAGACGTCATTGACAATTCCCTTATTCATAATCCATTATATTCTACTCGGAAAATATTAATATTCTAGACGTAATATATCGATATTTAAACAATAAAGATACTGTTGCTCCCGGTAATATTAAATACAATTATATCTCATCATGCAGAATAATCACGTGAATCTATGCACTCGCGTGACTTTACGTGTTTTCGATACACAACGATACGTTCGTTTATTCCTCGCCGGATGTTTTCATTAAATGTTTTGGAAATCGTCACATGTGCATGTGCCTTCGTTCGCACACGGTGCCTATAAAACGGTCTCGTTTATTAGACGATCTCATTAGAGTTCACTTAGTAAAGTTACGCGAACAATCGACAAATGAAGATGAAGTTCTTCATAATTACATTTGCTGCCTTCGCGATTGAAGTGAGTTTCTAAGATTAAAGTTTTTCGAAAGTATATATCTCTCCGATTCTTTGTTATCTGAAAATTAGATCTTGCATACATACTTGAATATTTTAGAATTTTATTAAATATATTATAATTTTATTCTGAATTTCATTTTCAGGCGCAGTGCCGCTCGCTCACGCTTTCAAGCGTGAGAGAAGCAGGTAGAACTTGCATTTCATGTTTCATATTAGAGATAGATATTAAGTATCCATACACAACAGTAGCATGTAATATATAATTATTACGCGAGCAATTTCTGCTTATCGTAATTTATTCACTAATTAGAGAAAAGAAAGTGCAATCTGCATAGAAATTCATATCTATTATAATTCAGAATACATCAAATTAGGATATACTATTATTGAATCGATACAGAATATTACATCGCATAATTTTTTTAATTTGACAGACGAAACAATTTCCGTAAACAAGCCGGAGCAACTAAAAGAACTAATAGCAGCGTACGAGGTAAACTTATTAATTTTGCCATAAAAATAAGTGAGAACAAAGATAATAAACGAAGTTCGATAATACGCTGTACCGTAACTTAAACGAATGAATTAATTATATATTATCGATTAATACGCAATTTATTAGTACAAACGTTATTAGTACAAACCTTTAACCTTTAAACCTGAATATTGTTATTCATTTCAGAAACAATTTTTAAAGCAGCTAAGCTCGATTATCGAACAACTTGTCCAAGAGCAATCGAGAATTAAGAATGACAAATTTAACAATACAGACTCTACCTTGCAGGCATTAAATAACGTTAACAATATAAAAGGTCTAATCAATACTATAAAGGAGATTGATACTCAGGATGAGGAGATTACCAATGAGCACGTTCGAATCAGTAAGTAATCGAAAATCTTAGTCAAAATATGTCCCGATGTCAAAGAATATTATTAGCATTAATAAGTCTGGATATATTTAAATAAAATATAAAGTTATATAGAAATTAATATATATATATAATAAATATTATAAAATACTGTAAAAAAAAAACAAATTAAAAAAAAAGTTAATATTTTAAAATTAATTATAGAACGAGCCGTGACTTTCGCAACATCAGAAGAATGGATGACTAATATGCTGATTGATATTCAACGTCAAGTGGTGCACATTCGAAAATATTTAGACAAGTTATGCAAGTAAGAGAGGCGTAAAAAAACAATTATAAGAAATGCAGACTGCGTCAACACTGAATAATTAACGACTAATTTCAACGTTTCAGAAAACATCATCCAACGGCAACAACCATTTTAGAAATGAATTCTGATGTTGATATTTCTCCCGTTGATCAGTCAAATAAGTAGCGATTATGTAAAACAAATTTTTTTCTGTATGCTCAAATATTACGAAAAATCTAACCATATGGTATTATAATAAATTTACTTAAACTTATAAATGTATAACATTACTGACTACTGTAATTAATAAACTAATAATATGAAAAAACAAATAAATATCGTTATAATAAAATATTGAACAAATATATATTATCAATCTCGTTTAATATCTAATTTTATTGTAGTGATTCGTCTTGTCATGTATTAAATATACAACTGCGATATATTCATCCGATCTGTTGCTAGATATCATGTTAAAATGTTTTTCAGCCACATCATTTGATACGTTTGGTCGATAATACATAGTCACCGCTGACAACGGAATCCTCGTCGCGACGAAGCAGTTCTTTGTCATTAATTGGTAAGTTTTTTTCCAATTTAATCGAACTTGCCAATATCATATTAAACGCATATGACACAAACAAAAGGCAGTAAATTTTGTTTAAACAATATTCCATTACATTTTAACATTTCGAGTCATCCTCGTATGAAGAAGATGATCTCTACTTGTAAGACCTCCTGCAATGCCTTCAATTGCACAATGCACTTTGTTGACATAATTTTTTAGTGATAATATTTTGCCAAATAATGAAAAGTGCAATTTTTAATGGCAATTATTTAGCACTATCACTGTGCTTCTATTTAGAAATTAGATCTTTTAAACTGAATTAATTTAATTGAAAATATTCATATTTATATCAATATTTATTCGTAATTAATAATTAATTATTAATAATTAATTATTGATAATTCAAAATTTCGAAAAAACGTCTTGACGAAATATTTTCATCAAATAAATTATTATAATTCTGTAAATTAAAATCTGAAAATTAATTAGTTAATGTTAATAATTTCAGGTAGATTATTTTTGATCAATGTAGGTATAGTAGATTATTGAAAATTGAAACGAAATTCACATGCATGCTACGTTTATCGTGAGTTAGAGAAGTTAAATTGAGAATCCATAGGTCAGGAACACACGTGTCGATTATCGCAACGCGATCTAATTTAGGATGCTATCATGATTCTCATTCTAGTTCGTATCTTTGTGAAATTGCATTCTTTGAAAAATTCTGCTGAATTCATATGTAATTACAATATTAAATCAATTTACAGAATAAAAATAGGTAAAAATCAAATATAGAATTTTTATCGTAATTGCTTTCGACAAAATTATTTATATAATAAGCGGAAGACATGTAAGAATGATAGAAGAAAAAAGATTCATATAATAAAGAAATTATTGTAACGCAATAAAATAGGAGGGATTTTATCATGCAGAGATTAATATCATGCTTTCTCAAAATTGCAATTTCCTATGTTATGAATTGACGTCTCGCGTTTATGGGAGCGATTCTCAAGGCACATTGTTAAAGATGATTACTCGAAGATAAGACATGCATTATTCAAAATAATAGTTCTCTTGGAGAACTGCATCTCATATTTCAAGCGCTTTATTACCGTTTGCATAAATAGATCTCACGTTTAAAAGTGATTATTTAAATAGTTTATAAGTTAATTAAAAATGTACTATTAAATTGTTAGAGATAAAATTTTTCTTTTCTGATCAAAGTATATATGTATATAATTTTATGTTTAAAAATATGCAAACTCTTGAAATCATATTGCTTCTTAATCAAACAGATATAAAATTAAAGTTTCAATAAAATAGTTATAAAACGAATAAAAATATGCTTTAAAGTTTTTTCTATTTCCCATGTTCTACCTGGCACTGCGTGTTCAGATCATACAATTCTAAATAAATGCACGAATTGGTTTGCTTCAGACACAAATACAGCGCGAGTTTATTGCCTAATGAGAAAAGTTTTTACATTTTATCTCGCAAAACGACTGCGAGGCATAAACTTTTTAATATTTCAATGTAACAACGTATATTATTTATATTTCAATGTACAGTGATAGATAATACAATATTAAGTGCATAATATCTAAGTTTATGCATTATTCATAAATCTTAGATATTTTTCTTTCTAAGTAAATTATTTTCTAACTAAATTTTTTTTCTCTATACACGCAGACTAAGTTACGCGCACATAAATGTACGATTTAAATTCATTGGAATATTCGTGCCAAAAGTGAAGACAACGAACGAACACCGTTACATAGAAATTACGCAAATATGATCGTAAATAATAATAACTCAGTTGCATGAAAGAAAAGCAATCTTTTGACAAGCTACGATTGGCTGTTTGAAATTTTTAGCTGTAAAAAAGGGACCACTGCACCTCCCATCCCATGAATTATTTCTTATCGATTAATCGACTCGAATGTCTATATCGGTTCGTAACAGTTTCTATTTTCATACAATTTTTCTTATTAAGTATTAAGATTTGCATTTTTATTACAATCATGAAAGCCCCATTTAAAGTATACATTTGGTTTTCTTTATTGGCTTCTACTTTTATTATTTAAATTACTTGCTTCTCACTACATTATTTCTCGTTTTTAATGTAATATTATATTCATCTTGCTTTTCTTTTTTTTACATTCTCAAATATTGTATTTTTTTTATACGTATATTGAAGTATTACAAAGCTGTCTTTGTAATACGAAGTATTACATCTTATATCTCCATACGATATTATCTCTATACGATTTATGATTTTTTTTTAATACTAATATTTGATTACATTTGATTGTTACACTTGTGTATTTTCTTCTTAATTATACTATACTAAAGATCTAAAAAAGATTAGACTTATAAGTAATATTACATTACTGATGCTGTTCTTCACATTTGTCTTTATGTACTTACATATGTACTTACATATCTTTTATCTTACCTTTTAATAAAATTATAATTATTAATATTATGTATA